CACGTGTGCCGAGCTGGTGCCATCGTGATAAGACCAGCCTTGCGCGTGAAGCCACTATGCTCGATCACCTCAGGCTCAACATTCCAATCAGCAGCTGCCAGAAACGATCCAGCAGAGCGGCTAATGGAAGCCCCAAGCACAGACAGCAGGTTCATGTTGGCCGTGTCCAATCCAACACTATCATGAAAGTATGCAGAATACACCACGAACTCAGGCCAGCCTGGGATATCAACGACTGCTGAAATAAGCCGGCCTTTAACAAGCTCACCGCCAGTAGGATTCCATCGCAATCCAAGATGCTGCCGAGCAAATATGGCCACTCCCGCTGAGTGTGAACCACGTGCACAGCATCGCGACGGACTGCACAAAGCACGAAAGCCTGCGGTGCGGGCAGCACGCTGAAGGTCAGGCACTGCATCAGGGCCAGTACCAATCTCCTGCGCACAAATCACCATCGAATCACTAGATCGTAAACGTTCGAGAAGCGTAGCACGGCAATTACCGTTGAAAGTTTCCAGAAACTGTGGACCACCAGCAGCCGAAGACGACTTTGAACCCTTATGCTGCGGAACAATGTGGCCCATAGACGAAACTGGGAGACCACTCAGGTAAGGAGGGTTAGGAAGGCGACGTACGCTGACGCTTGACTCCCAAGGCCTCCAGCTGCACCTCGAACTCACGCTTATCATTAGTCTGGAAGAGAGCATCGATATCCTCCGCTGACAAGCCCGAGTACTGGGCCTGCGGCATGGAAGCGTCACTTCCCTCAGGCGGTGTTGCAGCAGCAGGCTGGTCAGCGGAAGCAGCAGCCCCACCTCCTCCGCCGCCTCCGCCTGCAGCACCTGCGGCGGCAGGAGGGGGGGGAGCAGCCTTTCTGTAGAGCTCCTGGAACTTAGCAAAGGCCGCACTGGACAAGAGCTGCTTGACGTCAGCGTTCGCCTCATCATCCAGCACCTCCGTGGGGAGCTCCAGCTTGACCTCCGTGGACTGGGAGTTGGCGCCAGGGCCCGCAGGCATGGTGCGGCGCAGCTCCTCCTCCAAGGCCGCCACCTCTCGCTGGCAGGCAGCCTGCTTCTCCTGTAACTCAAGCAGCGACTTCTGAGCCGCCTCAATAACTTTCTGCTGGGCGCCGACGGCTTCAGTAGCCTTGGCCTGCTTGCGCTGAGCCGCCTGAAGCCTGAACGCCACATTGGTGTGCTGCTGCAACTGTGGCTTGGCTTCTCGCTGAGCCTTGCGGGCAGCACGAAGTTGCTCCTCGAGGCAGGCTCTGGCGGGGTCGGAGGAGTCGACGTCACCAAGCTGCTTGAGAGCCTTCTCAAGGGAGTCGATGCGGGCGCCGCGCTGTTCCTGCTCATCACCAGGAGCGCCAGCGTCACCATCAGCAGCCTCGGGGACCTGAGCCTTCGGGTCCTTGAGGCTCTTGAACTTCTGGTCGAACTTCCTTTCGAGGGCAGCCGTGATGGTCGCGACCAGGTCGGGCGCGGGCGGACCGTTGGCCCATGCACCCTTCGGCTGTCTCGGCGCAGATGGGGCTGGCCGCTGGCCCCACTCCTTCTCAGCTTTGCGGGCTGCTTGTGCCACACGGCCAGGAGCAGCAGCACCACAAAGACATTTGATGCGGCAGGCCCAATTCGCAGTCCGAGAGCACTGTGAGCAAGACCAATGAGGCGAGCGAGGGCCTCGAAGCACGGATCCATCGCCAGCCATGCGGGCGGACTGGGGATGTGAGAAATCGCGAAAAGCCTTTTTGGCCCGACGAGGCAGGCCGCTCTGAAGTTTGCCTCGTCAAGCTCACACAAGAAGCTCAAAACAAAAACAAACCAAACCAAGCTCAGGCAGCAACTGGCCTGAGCCAGAACGGCTAAATGGAGGAGGAGTGAGGGGGAGGAAGGAAAGGAAGAGGGGTAAGAGGGAAGGGGGGGGGGGAGGGGAGGGTTTTCTCCTTCTTCTATTCTTAGTATCCTTATTCTCATTATTATTATTATGGTTATTATTATTATTCCTCCTCCTCCTCCTCCTCCTCCTCCTCCTCCTCCTCCTCCTCCTCCTGTTGGTTCGTGTTGGCTCCGATGCCGTCTGTTACCGCTGGCAGAGCCTGCAGCAAAGCGGCGAAAAAGCAAGGCTGGCAGTTCAGTGCCCGTCGATCCCGAGGAAGGCCTCCAGCTCCTCGAAGCGGGGGCAGAGGTGGCGCGGGAGGTTCGAGCCCCTGGAATCCAACACCAGGTGTTCCTCCCACGCCGCCTCCCGCGTGAGCTCGCGGCCCTTCTGGTCCCTCCTCCTCCTCCTCCTCCTCCTCCTCGTCCTCCTCTTCTTCCCACAGGGCGGTGTGAGGAAGACGCGCGGCCCCAGGGCCCAAGAGCGGCGGCGGCGGAAGGTGCCCCCCATGTGAGAGGGTCGTGCGGCCCGAGCCCAAGGCACCCGCACCACAAGGCCAGCGCCTCTGCACGTCTGCTGATATCATCAGACCCCCTGGCTTCGTGCAAAAAAGCACGACGGGTATTTTCTCGCTGTGCTCGGCCTCCGGGGGCCCTTGCGGGGCCCTGGGACTGTGAAAAAAAAACGACTCAGGATGAAGAACTGGTCCTGGGGAATGGGTCAAGACCTCTGGAGGTCGACGTTGTGAAACAATCACGACGTCGGGGGTCTGGGCAGTCTGGGCCGCTGAATCTGTACGCCGCGGCCGACTTCGCTCCCAGTTCCGTCTCGTCCATGCGACTGCTCCCCCTGATCCACACCCTCCTCTTCCTCCCCCCCCTTCCCTCCTGCTCCGCCCCATCCTCCCTCGCCACTCGCCGCTCCCCCGCGCCCCAGACCCTGACCCCTCACTCACCCCCCCCAGACCTCCGACGTCAAGAATTTTTCATGACGTCGACCCCCAGAAGTCTCGACCCCTTCCCAGGGACCGGTTCTTCATCCTGAATCGTTGTTTGGCGGTCCTGATAAGCGCGCCCAAAGGCCGAAAATCATGAAAAACTTCCCGCCGTGATTTCTTCAGCACGCGAGGGGTTCTGGGCCCTCCCTTCTCACTCATCCAGGTTCCCCCCGCCCTCCTCGCTCGCCCCATCCCCGGCCCCGCTCCCGACGAGGAGGAGGAGGAGGAGGATGAGGAGGAGAAGGAGGAGGAGCAGGAGGAGGAGGAGGAGCAGGAGGATACGGAGGAGGAGGAGGAGGAGGATGAGGATTTCCAGGATTTCCGCCTTCACGTAGTGAAAACTAGGCTTGAAGCTCAGCTCTTGCAGTTGGGAAACAGGTCGCGCTCGATCCTGTCGAGATATTCGCGCCTGGCCTTCGAGATGGGTAATTTGCACGGTTCCGCTAGCCCCCTGAGCTGGGCTTGACCGAAGAAACCGCACGTACCGCAATACCACAACTGAAGGTCTTTATGATAAATCAAAGCGTGAGTGGGATGGGTCCAACCCCCAGCCAAATGTAAACGCCGTCCTCTCGGAACACGAGCAATCTGGCTATTCACATGCTGGAGTTGGAAGCAGTCACTTTTTAACCATTCCGCTAACACCGCTTTGGTCGAGGAGCCCCTACACACACTACACGCCCCACCACTTTCGGTCAGGGAGTGGGCAGACGCGAAGCGTGCAATGGCAATAGGAGGAGGAGGAGGCGGGGGAGGTGGGCCAGCCCGAGCTGAGGCCCCAGCTTCCCCCGACACCTGGGCGGCTTTGATAGAATCCAGCCCTACACGCAAAAGCCTCCTCCGAACCAACAAGGCTTTGTGTTCGATGGACATGGCACGGTGACGACTGGCCTGGGAAACCCGCGCGTGCGCGGCCGATTCTCCAGCAAGGACGTCGACGCAAGCATTGCCAATCACAAGCCAACTCGGCATCCCACGAGCGAGGTACTCCCGTGGGCTGAGGTGCGAGGGCACCTGCATGATGATTATACTGGCAGGGTGCCGAGCCTGTCGCAGAAGGAGCTTGCCAACCTCTCTCCAAAGGTCGGCTTGCGGCACCTCAGGACGACGAAAAAGCTCAGAATACCACCCCCTAGCCACTTCAGCACAGTCTGTAACGGAAACAACAACACCTACTGAGAATCTGAGAGCCCAAAGGAACGCCAGAAGCTCCCCTCTAGGAACACTCTGCGAGGGCCCAGGGAGCGGCCCCATCAAGAAAGGACCTAGGGTGGGTGGGTCATAGCTCCTAACATTCGCGACGGCCAGGCCTACCCTACGGAGCCTAGAGTCGTGGGTGTCTTTCCCCCCCGACGCGCCCCCAAACAGGACCAGGGGCTCCCTCGTGGTGCCTGTCCCTAGACAGCCTTCCTCCAAGGAGCCCCCAAGCCAATTGCCTCCGACGATGGCCTCTTCGGGGGCGGGAGGAGGGACGGAGGTCCAGGAGGAGGGGATGAGGCCCCGCATCAAAAAACACGAAAACGCATCGGACTCTGACACAGCCTGAGTGATAAGATCACTTGAATCAGCATAAGCCTTAGACGCAGAGCTGGCGTTCGCCTCACATGTCCAGCACCTGTGCAAGGCTGTCTCTGGACCTTGCCCGCACCGAAGGCAACCTGATGAACTGCATAGGTGGGCCTGGAAGCTCCTCTCACGCGTCCAGAAACCTCCCGTGGCAATGGAAACTAGCAACTCCGATAGCTGCCTACCATTTTTGACATCCTGCAACTCGCAAATCATGGCCTGCAGTGAAACCATGTCCACTCCGTCAGCGACTCCGTCGCCGCAGAAATGTGTAGCTGCTGCCCGTCACTGCTGAAGCTCCCTTGTCCGCTGAAGCTCGTCCAGAAGGGGCTCTGCCTGATCCAGAGCCTCGAAATCGCCCCCGTGAAACATCCACGAATGCGTCATCGAAGATCCACCATGTGGCACTTCCCATTCCGTCGGAGATATCGGCTTCCAACCCGCTTCAAGCAGGTACATGATGACAGTCGTCATGGGGCCGCGAACATGACGTGCTCGCTGCCCCACTGGTAAACTGGAGAGGTGACCGACTGCCCGCGGCCAAGCCCGCATGATGGCTGGCCTGATCTGGGGGTCGGTCAGCCACACACTCAGCCATTGCGATAAGCACTGCCGCGGCAGGCGCACTCCAGGATCATGACCTGGGAGTCTGAGCGCCAGCAGCGTCGTGAGACACCTGCCGCGCTTGGCTGACCCCGCGGCAGCGCCGAGACGACGGCGCTGCGACTGCAGCACCGAACCGAACTGCCCGTATACGTGGTGCCCGTAGACGGCGGCTGCCTGCGGCCCCGCACGCTGCAGCTTGGCGGACACCGCCCAGCGCCGAGCGGCCTGCGCGTACTTCCGCAGCCGCCCGTGCGCCTTGCTGGACTTGAGCGCCCGCTGCCTGGCGGTCGCACGACCGCGCCGCCTGCCGCAGGACAAATCCACCCCGAGGTAGGCAGTCTGCAGCACGGCTCGCAGAGCGACTCCCTTCCACTTGAGGACGCGCTCGACCACCTGCGCGTCACTGCGGTGCGAGCACAAAACAACACTCTTGTCGGCGATAGCCAACTGCAACTTGGAGAACAACCTGATGGTCGAGAGCACTCCCTTGATGAGCGTGGGCCTGACGTGCTGTCTCGAGCCCATGACCCTCTGAGATAAACCATCTATCCAGATTCGCTCTGATAGTGAAACACGCGCCTGGCAAAGGCGCTGGCACACGTATGCTGTGAGGCACTTGGCAAACCTCGTGCCGTTCCGCAGCCCTTGTACCACTGAACGAGTCACCTGGAACGGCTCGCTGAACGAATCGATCTGCTCCAGCATGCGCGGCGCCAGGCAGATCTGAAGTTCCAGATGCAATATGACGGCGGGAAAACCTTTGCGCATGGCACACAAAGTCAAAGGCTCCCACTCAATGGAGTCGCAGAATGACGCAATGTCGACCACCGTCTGACCGTGCGGTATGTCCAGGCGTGAATGGACCTCGTCCTGCAACGCCCGAACGAACGCTTCCCGCAGGGCGCTGTTCCCCGCGATGGCGGCGTCCCAGTGGTCCGTCTCCGCCTGCAGGGCGGACCACTCCTTCATCTGCACCTCCCTGGCCATGGACCAGACACGGCACAGCATCGCGATTAAGCCGATCACTCTGTCCCCGCCCGACTTCTTGCCTAACAGCTTCCCCACCACGCACATGACCTGCCATGGCCAAGAGAGGCCCTCCTCGATCATATGGAAGAGGTCGCAGAGGCACTGGACGCCCTCATCGGGCAGCCTCTCTATGTCGGTCGGAGAGAGGATCCCGAGGCCTGCGCGAGCCTTCACGCGCGCTAAAGCCGCACGAACATCCGCAACGTCCAGTGGGACGAGCTGCTCCACCTCAGCTCTGCTCCTGACCGTACTCATGGTCGCCAGGATCCCATCCCAAGAGGCCACCTCGGAGTGCCACAGCTTGTGATAGCGTAGCACCTTGCGGTCCACAATATCCATGGGATGAAATCTGACCGAGCCGTCGATGTCGTGGAACTCGTCGCGCTCAGGATCAGGGTCCTTGAGCGATCTGAAAACTTGCCCCTGGGAATCGAGGCTGCTGAACCAATGCTGAAAATCCTTCAGTGACGAGGCCGCAGCACGATTCTGCGCCCTCTTGGACGCTCTGAAAGTCTTCTCCTCCAACCTGCTGAGCTCGTCGACGCTGAGCTCGAGCAATCGCCTGAGGTCCTGCAACAGCCCCTGCCAGGAGCCGAAGTGCGCAAGGAACGCTGCGCCTGCTCCGTCCACTGGCTGGTCAGCCAACCTGACGGAAGCCGACGCTAGGTAGCCCAGCTGCACGATGCCGTTGCTGCGCCTCCGGTGTCGTAGCACTCTCTGAACAATATTGTGAACCCTTGACCACCATGTGGAAATGCCGTCTCGCAACGGCTCTCGACGAATGTGCTCAGCTTGCCTCACCGAGACCACCTGCAGATCACAGCCGCCTGCCCTAGACCGCTCGGGAGCTCTGGTCTCGCGATGAGACGAGATGGCTAGCTCCGTGGCCTGGACCCATCGCGAGAAGGCCCCACTGATGGGTTGAACATGCTGTGCGCCAGCTTGGAAAGCGAGAGACTGTCGAATAGGAGGCCAAACATCGTGAATAGAGCGTGCAGTCCAAGGGACTTGAGCCAAAGCGGCTACCCACGAGGAGGGAGAGATAGAGAAAGACGGGAGAGGAGCAGGAGAGGCAGCGGCACCAGCACGGGCGAGGTGATCGCTGACCCCCTCCAGGGGACCGTCGTTCCGAGGACGCTCGGCTGGGGGGGACAAACCATTACCTTCACTCCGAATTGCTGCTGCACCCCCAGACGCCGCCGACGAAGCCTGCGTCGCCTCGGGCGCGCCTGCAGGAGGGCTGCTTAGAGATTCCGAGACCCTAGGTGCGGGCTGAAAAGGGGACTCGTTGGCCCAGGGGTCCTCCTCATCAGCCTCAAAAAGCCCCTCGAAGCCTTCATCCCCAAGGGGATCGACCTGCGACGAAAAGCCCACGGGGCCACGAGCCGACGGGTCGAGGTCACTAGGGTCGAGAGGCTCGGGGGAAGACGCGCTGCCGAAAATATCACCATACAGCAACTCACATTCACTAATCAGACGCTCCTTCTTTTTTCTGAGCTCGCTCAGCCTGCTCGAGCTTCTTCGCGCTCGACTTGGGCCCAGCAGTGGGTGCTGCAGACGGCCTAGGCCCTTGCGGCAACCTGGGAGCGACAAGCAAAGATCTGCAAAGCAACTGTTCGCCTGAGCCTCTTAGCCGTAGCTCAAGCCCAATGCGAGGAGCCCATGGCGTGTCAACTACTGGGGTGATACTGCGAATGTACGGAAGACAGCACTCAGACGCCATGACGAAATCGATGTGAGAACTACCTGCGCCCCCGACGCATGTGCATTCCACATCAGCCCGACGAATCACGCCTCCGACGCGGCGACAAAACGCTGACCTCTGAAACTTTGCAACATCGATGTTAAAATCACCTATGACGAGCCACGGAAGCTTCACAGAGGACAAAAATGCACCCAACTTGGCAAATCTAGCTGAGTTAACACCCGTGAATTCGACTGACGGATGCGCGTAAAACAATACCACAAGCAGCGAGAAGCCACACAGATGCACTAGAACAGGCATGACACCATCGAGAGCGTCTGAGCCCTCGGCACAGCAGCTGCTGGCGCCCTCACGCGGCTTGCCGAAAACTCTATGAACTGATAGATGACCTCGAGCCAACATGATCTCCCCGCCCTCGTAAGCGC